ATTTATATAATTATATTTATGTATAAAGTGTATGGCTCCCCAAAAACCCACAACAGAAATCTAGGTGATAGCAGTGAGCACAAAGCAGAAAGTGAGTTGGCTTATAGCTAAGGTATAGGTATGTATGTACACGAGAACACCTCAATTACTTTCCACCAATATACCAAAGCTTTGTTTACAACATAAAGTGCACTTACCCAAATATCTAACTGTTAGAAACAGCCATAGCACATTTTAGGCATTTGCTCCACTTGCACTGATATATATTTTACAAGTTCTTACAGGAACCATAACTCAAGATTTAATAAGTATTTATTGAGAAATGAGAAGAAAAGCAAGACAACTCATATTGCTTCATGCCTCATGCATTTATCCTTTATGATTTTAAGTGCTTCATTTAGAAAACACAACCCTTGAGAGCTCTGATATCTAGCTGGCCAGCTGAGCATAAAGGTGTGAGCTTAAAGTTCTGTGAAGAACTTCCTCCTGATATCCAATCTAAACTTCCCCTAAGTTTCCACAGTTCAGACCCTGATGTCCCAGTGCAGAAGCAAAGCTTAAAGGTAAAGAAATTAAAAGAGATTGGAATAGACCTGAATAAGGAGGCTATGCAAGAGAACAAAGTCAGACTTCCTTCCTTACAGCATCTTTCCACAAGTTCCAGCTAGAGAAGGGAGAGAGACTTCAGAGAGAAGAGGGTATCCAAAACCGGGTCAGTTGTTTACTGAGAAATAGTTATGTTACAGATATCAAAGTATTCAGAGCACCAGAGCAAAATGGAAATTTCTCGTCTTCTTCCTGTTACAAGATGTGTATTTTTGTTCTTTGTGACATTTACATGCCACAGTAAAAGCAACAAGAAAAGAAATACGTGCAGTCCAGCATAAAGACTCACACTTTCATGTCATAAATGCCAAGACGACAAAGAATCTGCACTTCTGCATCATGGCTTACTGTCCTGAATGTGTTAAGCAGGGTTTTAGTAGGATGGCACCCACTACCTTCTGCACACACAGATATTTCATAAAACTGAATTGCAAACGAAGTATTTGCTCATTCACAATATCCACTATCCTCTGTAATTTATAGGTAAGTCATTGGAGGGAAAAAAAAAAAAAAGATGGACAGATTTCAAGGGCTGTTTGTTGCTTAATCTCAATTTATCATGATATAAGAACAGCGTGAAAATATAAGTCATACATAATGATTAAAACCAGCAAACAAATACTCAGACATTCTTTGTTTTCTAACGAACAAATTACCTATAAAACCAATCTACATTTCCTATTTGACGTTGGCTTGCCATTGATCTGGGCAGCAGCACAAAAACACACTGTGCACAACTAACCAGTTATCATTCCAAAGCCAAACAGTGGTGCTTTGCAAAGCAGAGTTTATGTAAAAATGACAAAAGTCGATGCTACCACTTACAGAAAGACATTTCTAATATAAAGCCTCAGCTAACAATAAGAACTCTGGAAGCACCACCTCTTAAAATAAAGTGAGAATCCAGTTTGTATTTCTTCGAGGACACCAAATAAGTGCTACAGGTGTATATTTGTAAAGAAGGAGCACTGATCTCAGACACAAATAACTATATCATTCTGACAAGCGAAACCAGCTTATTAAATTAGCAGAGGTCTGGAGATGACAGAAGTCAGCTAAATACTGCAATAGCATCACAGACATCAACCCACCCAAGCTGTGCCTTTGCTCCCCATTGGCTCCTGCTTTTGTTCTAAGTGGAAGTGGAGAGGCCAGGACCCTAAGGCACAGCTGCTGCCTCCTCCAAAAGTAGGCAGAAAAAAAATCATAGAATGGAATCATTGAGGCTGGAAAAGACCCTTAAGGGTCATCAGGTCCAACAATCAGCCTCATGCAAGTCTAACCAACCATGTCCCTAAGCACCACATCCACACATCTCCTAAATACCTGCAAGGATGGCTGTTCCACCACCACCCTGAACAGCCTGTTCTGATTCTGATGCCTGACCAGACTTCGTGTGAAGAACTTCCTCCTGATATCCAATCTAAACATCCTCTAAGTTTCAACAGTTCAGACCCTGATGTTCCACTGCAGAAGCAGAGCAGCTGAAACTATGCCCACCTCACATAGAGTTGGCATTGTAAGACAACAGCACTCCTTCTTGAGAGAAAGAGGCGCATGAAACCAATAAAATAAGAGCATCTAGATACAATACAAAGCACAGTTTAAGGAAAGAAGCAGTACCTTCTGCTCTAGACTTTTCTTTTTCCATGAAAAAATAATTTAATCTGGCTGTTCTTTGCTTTTCTTTCAGTGTTTAGAAATCGGACAAATTATTTCAGGTTTTGTTTTCTTTTTCTTTTCCACTTAGCAAGGAAAACAATTAAATTGCTCTAAACTAATTTCAGAACATAAATACTGTGCCAAATCAGCATTTGATATCTTGCTTTGGCTGTCACATAAAAAAATTCAATTATTTACACTGCTTTAGTCACACAAAGGAAATACTGCTTTGCAAAATGCAGTGTTACCCTGTGTATTCCTCTTGCCTAGGAAAATAAACAATTGTCACAATAGAAATGAAAGTCTGCTACAATTCCTTATGCACACAGAAACTCATAATCACAAGATGTTAGAAATAATTACTTTTGCATTAATGCAGCAGTACAGATGAAATCAAGTCCAAGTTTGATTTTCAAGATCTAACAGAAGCCTCTAAATACCTTCTGCAAGCCAGGTAGCAGCCATCAGCTGGAGCTCGGCTGCCATACTGCACAAGAGAAAAAAGATCCAGCGGAAGAGCCCAGTCCAACCCAACGTGAGATGGGATGTGGGATTCCTGCTATGCTTCTGTGACAGTACAAAACCCTTCTGGGAAATCTAACACTGGTTAAAAGGCATTCAACAGCAGTCCCCACCACACCTCCAGCCTTTGTGAGTCATCTTCCAGGTAGGAGTCTCCACAGCATCATTCTCTTGGGGAGGACCTTCCAAGCTCAACTCGGAGCAATCCATGTCTTTAGAAGCAATTGAGAGAGCAAAGTTCATTTGCAGCAAATAGGCTGATTCTTTCCCTTTTATTTTATTTTTTTTTTTTAATAAGATTTATCTTGCCACAGGTTTTTATGCTGCTGTAGCCAGCCTGCAAGCATTTTGAGATAACAGCATGCAGTTAACAAGATTTGCAAGTCAGATGCGTTATAAAAATACACTCTAAGTTATGCAGAATCAGTGTTACACTGCCTGCAGGAGATTGGAAGCATTGCACTCTGGTAGGAAGCACAGCCATAGAGAGAGATAAACACACTTAAAACAAATCTTTTTGTCCGAAGACAAGCCCAGCCTACTCATCTCCTGAAAGAAGCAGTTAAGCAAGGAAGTGGAGAGTTGCACATTGAAGCCAGTAGAACACTGCCCATCTGCATGTGCTGAGCCTCTTTTTTAGCTGAGAACAGGAACACAAGGAAGAAAATCCACTGCATTTTACAACTTGTTTGTCAATTGAGCTAGAGTAAGTGAACGTGAAGGCTCTTTACACCTCACAGCTGGGGCAGTCAGATAGATTATAGCTTAACCACCATGAAAGTTTAAGCTGCTGTGAAGTTGGCTTACACTAAAGCACTTGATTTCATGAAAAGAAAAAGCAAAAAGCTTCATGATCCTCACTGAGCTCACAGCAATGCTCGCACTTGCTCACCAAGCCATGCTGAGGATGCCCAGGGACAGTATGCCTGCCATGGGTACCAGCTGGGAGGACAGATTCTCTTGCAGCCACCAGACATTACCAAAAGCCCGCTTAAGGAACAGAATAACAGCACCCCCACTACTGAAAACACATCCATGATGGAGATCTCAGTATCCTCATGTGATGCAATGCTAGATGTTATGGATGCACTGCACATCATACATGGGGATCAGCCACGGTTGGACAAGAAGGGAAAGAAATACCTCAAACAAAAACAAGTGCTGCTTTGGGTGCTCTCTCCACAGCAAACATTGATGCTCTGGAGATTACATGTGCTGTCAGCATATGGATTTTCTTCCAACAATAGTACATAAGAATTTTGTTCATATACTTGGTTCTGATGTGAAACACAGACATTAAAGCCCTTCTTTTAAAGCAGGGAGGTCCTTACAAAAGGAACTCCAAAGCTGTAATAAAAGTGTGCTACATAGTTAGTACCTAAACAAAACACAATTTTGTTCTATTTAAATTTGAAAGCAGGAAAATTCATATAGAGTTGAAATGAAATCCCAAACAGACTTTGATTCACAGATTCTGCCAGGATGAAGGGATTATCCCTTCTCACCTGTTAAAGTGCACGGCCCCTCAGAGGCAGGGAGCAGCACTCTAAAGTCATAATCCTTATCAGAAGAACTGCAGCGTAACTGTGATACTACTTTGTAGTTTGTTTCCATCTCTAGACTCTATAGATTCTCTTATTTCTCTGAAAGATTAGAAAACAAAACAGGAACATAAGCGAATAATTCAATTTACATAAGAACTTAATTCAAGGGGGACTTACACAACCCGAGCCTCAGAAGAAGACCATGACTGATAAAGAAACCACTTGATATCCTACTGCATGTACAAAGCACATCATCATGAAACACTGCAGCTCAAAGCTAATTCAAATCCAATCTAAAAAGTCAAGGAACTCTTTTACCAGGGGAAACCATCAAATGACTCACACTGAAAACAGAAATCCCTTTCCCTTTAATTTGTGCCTATTTTTATCCCCAGCATTTGTTGATTTCCAGAGCCTGCTTCACCCAACCTGACCAGCACACTTATTTCTATGGCAGTATCATGACCTCAGTGAGGTGCCTCGATTTTACTACAACATCAAAACAGTGGAAAAAATTGGGGATGTGAAGGATGAGGGTCTGATTCCCGCAATACACAAATCCAAGCACAGAAGGAAAAATACAAACAAAAGCCATAAACTGCTGCAATAGTAAATTTCCTTTGTATATAGTCTGCTGTAGGAACAGGAACAAAATATGTAACTTACCCCACCGGAAAATCTGATTCACAGACAGAGCCTTTCCTGTGGGTGAAAAAAGTTATAGATCATATTTTCCTGCGTTAGAAAATACAGTTAACAAAATTTGGTATCAATGTCAGAAAATGAAAAAGTATCTTACACGTCAAAACTGTTTTTCCCCAAATAGAAATGGTTGAGACTATTTGATAAATGCATATGTTGTTCTAATTGGGATGAATTCAAGAGGTATTCTGTTGCTCATACCTCACACCCAGGTGCATCAGCTCTGAAAAGTTTTACAGAACCTTTTAGGAACGTGAGCGCCTTAAGAGCACACATAAAAGAAACTGATTCAAATGGAGACATTTAGAAAGAGAATAAATTGAGGGGGTGGGTGGAGAATGAGTGTGGTTAAAAACTTAGAGGACAGCAGCTGGTCTGGCTACACTGAGGACCTTCCACTGAGTTACCACATCTCTGCCTGGTGCTCTCCTAAGGGTGATAACACCACATGCCCACTGTTCACAGCCTGCACCCAGTCAGGGCACCTTTTCAACGACTGCATTCCCCAACACTTCCTCATACCATTCTTTAAGCAGAAACCTTGGCAAAACCCACATTTATCTTTTAGCACTCTACAGATTCTAGAGTAGACTCGTAATGAAGTTCAAGTAACAAATACAAGCAGGAGATGAAGATAACTTATTGAATTGAATGAGTTGACATTTATCAACGGAACTAGCATTAAACAACTACTTTATTCTCAGGGATAAAAGAAATGCAGAAAGTTTCCAGTCAAGACAACTAGGAAGAAGAATGCCACCTCTGGAGTCACTGGAGCGCCATACATGGCAGCTGACCTGCACTCAGTGTGCTGTGACAAACAGGGGTGTGCATGGTGGAGCATCACTGACATGGCTTCTGTGTGTCTGCTTCACAATGAGCCCCACACCTATTTCCCACTGCAGGCCCAGATAGACATTAACAGGCCGTAAACATTCTGCCATTGTGTAGCCTTGGGAAAACCAGGAGGTCCCCATGGACACCCTTCCAATTAGGTAGGGAACACCAAACATCTTAAAGTTTCCTCACTTTTTTTTTTTTAGTCTTATGGAAATGAACAGAAGAGTGTTGCCTTGCACTTAGGCATCGAATCAACTCATTTAGGGACTGCTATCTGTGGTGTTTGGGCCTCATTAATTTTCTCTTCCAAAGTTGCATTCAGACACTCTCAGGCTTTTGTCTGTTGCTGTCATCATGGCATTTGCATGCACTAATCCATGACAAATGGTTTCATTTGATGCACATTGGATTTTCTTGCCTGCCAACTAGAAAGATAATAGAAATACCAAGAGAAGCTAAATTAAAACTAAAGGAGTTGCATATTTTAAGAGAAACTCAAAACAAAGTTAAGATAAACATCACCTGGGCAGCTGAATTTGCAAAGAAAGGGTTGAGGTTTCAGCTACGGAAAGACGGTTTCTAAAACGCAGCTTTTTTCCCCAGGTCATTAAAGCCTCACAAAAATATTACTACAGAAATAATTATACTACAGATGTGGGAGCTGGCTTAGATGCAATCATTCTCTGTCAAGTCATGCACTGGCACACTGAAACCAATTACAAATTCATTTGTAGACCTCCGTTATCTTCAACTCATCTCTTCAGTTCTCATTTTCATGCATCATGGTGCCCTTTTGGCTGACTGACCACTCAAATTTAAAAGCATCCCATGAAAGCAGCCAGAAAGTTCTTCATGAGTTGATGACAGTCACAATGAAAAGCTTTAGTGCAGACCTACTGGCTTATAGATTTCAGCAATACTTTAGTTAAGACCAGTGCTACTGGTCTCTATTGCAACAGCAGATTGAGAAAGCTGATTTAAGGAAAAAAAAATAATTGAGAGCAACTTCAGGCAACAGAAGTCCTCCTTTATGTTCAGTGATTCTGCATACTAAGAGGAACACGAGAGGAACACGAGAACTTTGAGTTTGCTTTGGTATTGAATCTGCCTGAAGCATAGCTGTTACTGTGATTTCTCTTCAGCATTTAGGGGAAAAAGGTGCTAAACAATAAAGTTCCCTTCATTTATTCGTGTCCTATTAAAAAATAAACATACTAATCAATGAAACTGATTTTCCAAATAAACCATTCTTGCTTGCTCCCAAACACTTAATTAAACACAATTAACTCTCGTTTGTTTTGGCAGCCAATTAATGTCATGATCAAATAAATAGACTCCACAAGAAAAGATTATAATTAATAAATCCCTAACAATACAGTAAAATTACACTGAAGCTTTGCTTGACAAAAATACTTAGTGGCATTTTTTAATAGCATTAATGAGGACACTGAAAAAAAAAGTTTTATCAAGTGTGCACCAGAACTTGAAAGGCCCAGTTCCTCACTTTCCAACAAAGCAGCATGTGTGATGTGAGGTGTTTCCCAATCAAGTCCTCCATCTGTATGGCTTTCACTCACTTGCAAATCAACTACAAGTGAGATTTTAACTCATTGTATCTGGTAGATTTACAGTGAAAGCTCTTGATTTGTCACCTACAGAATCTGAACTATTGATCCAATAGGAGTGAGCGTTAGATCACATCAAATGACAGATTAAATGCATATTTTTACTGGAACTGCAGCTCTCCTAAAAACAAAGAAACAAGGCTTACCATTCAATCTGTGCTTTAACTGCCTACTGCATAACATACAACCCCATACCGTGACTACAGCTTGTACGAAAAATATTGAGACTCGATTTCTATTAGGAGTTCAGCCTGCATGACCTTTAGTAGGAACTGCTGGTGTAGATCAGTCTTCTCCCAGGTTCAAAGTCAAGACACCACAATGAGAAAATAATTGAAGAAATTATATTCTGCTTCACTTGATGATTCTGAAGGGATAAGTGAGTTCAAGGCCTTGGAAGAACATTGCCCCTTGGGCAGTGCAGAACCTCTACTGATTAAGCCATGAGAGTGCACTGAATTCCAGAAACGCTCAGAGCAGATGGGCATCTACAACTGGAGTGCAAGGTGCTGGGATCACAGCAAGCATTTAGGAGTCGATTCTTAAAATCCCGATTCATTCACATCAACCAAGACACTAGCAAGGTCCTTCCTTTGTGCCACCAACTCACTTCCCAAGCACATCTAGTTTTTAGCTTTATTTTTTCCCCTCCACCCTAACAAAGGAAAAGAAGGATTACTATGGAATGTTACGAACAATTATCATCAAATAGTAGCCACAGTGATCTTATCACTGGAGAAGTGACCTTCAAGGACAGCAAGACTGGTTTCTTCACTGAACACAAAGAAAAAGAGGAAGACTCCTGTTCTGACAGGAATACAGAAGGTGAAAGAGAGATGTCAGATAATCTTCTAAACAGAGCATAGAAATATGAGTCACAAATACATACATGGGGTTTTGTAACTTCATTAAGCTTAATTTACACCCCCAATTCTCCACTGTGCATCACTGACTGAATCTAATAAATTTGGAGTCCAACTGTGCTGCAGTCATAACAGTGCCTACCTAGAGCACAATGAAAAAAGTCTCCAGCACTGCTACCAGGCAAAAAGATAAGTCCAGCTGGAGTGAGCTGTTCTATACAGAGCATCTGGAAATGGCAAAAATGCTGAATCCCATCAAAAAAATAGATCTCGCTCACAGCAAAGGTTGATTTCACAGCAGCACAGAAAAGAGAACATACAAAGAAATCCAAAGATTGTAAGAGGGATAGGATAAAACAATATGAAATTTAATGGGAGAAGAGACGCCTATCTTATGGGGAAATGCACTTGGATATTGCCTTTTAAAATATAAATGAGTCTAGGATTTAAGTAGGCTAATCATTAAAGGCAGGCTTCTGATGTTATCAGCAGAAACACTTCTGTGCAGAGCAAACTGTATTTGCCTTTGGGGGTTATATTTGTAGGTGCCAACTTTTCCTTAGAGCTCAACCACCGCAGTACGAATTCTCACGGTCTTTAAAACTGTGATAGCAAGCTACAAATAGTACAGAGCTTCAAGAGGTCCCTTCTGTGACTCATGGAGCTTCAGGGCAGCTCCAGAAGAGGAAGGCATTGCATTCAGAGGGGCTTTTGTGTCCCTACTCCCCCACAGCAGCTCCAGCCCTGCAGAGGGATGTGCCACACTACTGCCCACATAGCCACCCATAGAGAAGTTGGAGGGGGGACTTGAGGTAGCATGAGAAGGATGCACCAAAGCTGAGCACAGAAAAAAAATGCATCAATTGCACCTATAAGAGCAGAGCTGTCCCTTAGAATACCACTGTCAGCACCCTGGGCTCCTGCTGTCACACAACAGGACAGCAATGCTCACAGCAGCTCGTAGAGCCACGCTGTGCGCAGTGGGTATCCAGTGCCCATCACACACCTTGGCCACATTGTTCTTCACAGCCCATTGAGCTGCAACACCTGCTCCCCACAGCCTGTGTTGCCTCCCTGGATCAGAAGTAATGAGGCAACTGAGCAGCTTGACCGGTGACAGCTTTCCTCCACCTGCATACAAGCCATGCTCCCATCTCAGGTGAAGGAGAGAGGCACTCTCCTGCCATCCGCCTTCCATCAAGTACCATATACTCACTAGCAGTGCTGCAGACCCTCTCCTCTATCTGAGGGAAGGAAGACCATTAAAGTAACAGCTCAGGGGCCCTAGAAAAACACAGCCAAGTCTCTGGATGCAAACACCCCCTATAGCCACGTTTCTCTGATTTGGATGTTTGACTCCTCAAAAATCAGTCTGCAGCACCTCTAATACAGCCCGCTGCTGTCAAGAAGTGCATTGCACAAGATTTACAGGCAACTCAGTGTTATCATGCTGGCAGCAGCCCTACCTCAGCCTGAGCTTCATTACATCAGTTCTCTGCCTACACAGATCACAAACATGTTCATCCACTTCTGTCCAAATATATTGTGTGGGACCAGGAAATGCAGTCAGTACCTCCAGGCTGGATTGCTTTACATTGCAGTAGGTAATTTCATATTTTCTAGAACAGATTGTGAAGACCAGAGGTATAAAACAGAAAAGCATTGAGAGAGAAAGAATTCCAGCAAGCACTTGTGGGATACCAAGCTGGGTATTTGGGATTGTCTGATTCTGAACAAAGCAAGATGTATACAGACACAGCATTTCAAGTGCATTTACAGACATAAATGAGAACTAAATCAGGTGCTAAAGCTATCAGTTTGTTTCTTCCAATTAACACAGCATGAAGCACTAGTTGCCAAATTTCACATCCATGAGCTGATCTACTGCACACAGGTGGAGACATTGCACACCATTATGGACACTGTATAATAAAGGCAACAATTTGCATTCCCACCATATGATTAATGGAATACAATTCTTGCAGAAACCATACACTTCTATGCATTAACTACCTGGTTCTACATCTGCTTCTATCAACACCAAGAGCAAAAACCCTGTTAAATCCATCTTCCATATCTCATTTGGCAAGCAGAAAATATTCTATTTACACTTTGCTGGGGAATGAGAGTCAGACCAACATTCTTCCCAGGCTGTTTTGAACGAAATAGCCACGTGTTTAGAGCATATAGTAGTCTTTCAAAATGGGAAAATATGCAGTTTCCTCCTAAGGCTATTAAAAAAAAAAAAAACAGTGGGAAGGCCAAGATCGGAACATAGATCTTCTGCTCACCATCACAAACTCAAGTTTCCACAAAATGCTGTCTACTAAGAAAGATGCTCAGAACACTTAGGTTGATGTTGGTGGTTAACTTGTGCAGAATTGCTTTGATACAGACTTTCCTCCTCACAGTATATGGTATAGAGATTCCTTGAGATGATTTCTAATGGGTACATCATTAAGAACTGTCACAATAAAGATATTTTTATATTTAGTAGATATAGATTCTAGCCATCCTTAATTCACTCTGTGACTTCTTCCTTGGAATAAACTTATTTTTAATTAACATATTTGCAAATGTCAGCATTGCTATAGTAAGTACATGTTTCTGCCTGTGTCTGCTGCGCATCTTTATGCTGAATGCAAGACTAACCCAGCATCCTTAATATGTAGCTAATTATCTTGCATGAACTTACAGGCTCCAGTGTGCTTTCCTGCGTTTTTAAGCAACACATGGCCAGTATTGCCCACTGAGATTCAGTGCCAGCTAACAGTCCTAGCTGGGTGCAAGATGTCCCTCATTTATGGAACAAAGCCAGAAAACTCACTAAGAACTGCACACTACACAGATTTTTAAATTATTATTTTTAATTTAGGGAAAAAAACCTAAGACCCTTTGCTTTTTAAATATCTCATTTTCCTGCCAAATGCCAGCATCTACTCTCTGCCTCTGGGGCAGAGTCAATACTGTCAATCAGATGATCAATGAACTATCACAGGCACTTGGCTAACTCTGCAAATCACAACCTGTCCACTCTAATCCTCAGGCCAATTCAACAGCTCTACAACCGTCTGCATCTTACAGCAGAAAATGGCCAATGTGGAATTCTTCTCATTACTGCCGGTTCTTATTAAATCACACAAATGACATGCTTCTAAAAAATGAAGGGGTCTGCCCCCTCCCCCCAAGTTATATTCCCCGTGAACGCTTTCATGCATCCTCTGTCTAACAGTTTTCCTGAAAATGAAAAATATTCATTAAAACACCGCAGACAACGATGCGTATTACCCAGGGGGAATCACGCTGCAAAGGTGTTCAGTTAGCTTACTCCAAGATCCTCAGATTCTGCTGGAAAAACCCAAAAACCCACCCTGCCCCTCTCTTTTGTCTCAACTAAAAAAAGAACACCATCAGTTGAAGTACTTAACAGCAGCATCGAAACTTTTTGTTGCGTTAATGAGACAAGAAGGAATTCACAGACAGCTACAGACAGCACAATAATCCATCTTAACATCAAGCAATATTTACCATCCTCTGACTACCTGTGCCCTCCTGCCAACATCTCACAGAAGATACAGCTCCAGTCAATTACAAACACTGTCAGGTAAAATGGTTTATCACTTTTGTTTTCAGGTTTGTACCTTCTGCCAAGTCATCTAACCGAATAAAGGCCTGAATTATGAAACTGCATTCTAGACTGAAAGGAAGATTTAAACTTCTGTGATTGCACATTGTGTGTAGAAATTTATTTCAATCCATTCAGATGCTTGCTTAAGAAAGTTTCAGGAAGGAAATAGAAAAGATCAGAAATACCTGATTGTAAACTATGTTGCCCTTGATTTCCAGTGATTCAAAATGGAATTGACAGCAGCACTACAGATAGGTGTAGTCACTGCATTAATCCACTGAGTTCAGTTCAAGTTTATTATGCTAAATCCACTCCATGAGGATTTTATCTTTTAACTGCACCTTCTTGTGCTCAGTGAGACTTCTATTCATCAAGTATGAGAAGCACATGACTGGCTGGAATTTACCTTTTTCATCATCTTGTACCAAAGTAACCCCACAATGGAGCTGAACAGCTCTGTTCTTGTTTTAGAGCTTCTATTATCTATGGAAGATCACAAGCTGAAGGAAGAGGTATGCTGAGCACGCTATTGATCACAGCTATATTTGCTGATTCAATAAGTTGAAATTTCATGTACCAAATATTAAATTACTGAAATTATGTATTGGTTCATCTGCATCCATTTTTTACTCACTTTTATTTAGCTGAACATTTTAATCTTACTTACACAGTGACTAACTAAAAGTAAATGACGCATTCCTAACATTATAAATATGAAAAATAGGGGGTGCTCAGGGACTGCAGTTGAATACATTAAAATCGCTCTGTTTGCTAATTAACATATTTCCATCCCTTTTACAACTTTTTCCATTCAATTGGTGGACTGCAAATTCACTGCCTTGTAAAAAACACTCCCTTGATTTTCTGTTGCGACAGCGGAAATTGCCCAAGATCTGGAACAGTTTCCCTCAAGAATGCCTGCTTGCTGGTACTTCCCAGGTGCCACACAGTCTGAATCAGAGGTGAACATCATGTCAAATTCCACTCATCTGTCAGTGTAGTGGATTATTTCTTGAGAGACTGAAATTGGCTGCCTGGGATCGGAACGCCATCAATCTTGTTCATGTAGGGTGCGGAGATGCTGCCTGAGAAAGGCTCGCAAGAGGGAAAGCTGGGCTGTTTCTAAGTAGGTGATGAGGCAGCTGTAAAACCTTCACTCTATCTGTATCTCATCTCTGAGTGAAAGATTTTGTCATATTTCGCATTTCCCCAACACTTGGTATGCGCTCAGTGTGCCACTGTTCTTGCCTCATAAAGGAGGTGATTTTTCAAGCTTAGGCAAATGTTGCAGAGTTCTGAATCTGTCCAGCTCATTTTTTCTCATAATGTCACTTTGTTTCAACCAATTTTGCAAAACAAGATTACATTTTCCTTTTACCTATCTGCTTAGCTGCACCCTTTTTTCTTATTGCCTTCACTGGAGGACAGATTCAAATAACCAGGAGTAATACTCACAATTGAGTCATAACAAATATTTCTATCTTACTTTCTGAGTGCCACTCAAAGACTCAGACTTCCAGTGGCAGCTGATAAAGATGGTGGTGTTTCATTAACCAGTAGCTACAAAGAACTGATCCATCGAAGACTTATGTCTGTTCTTCTGTACTATGCATATTTTACTGCAAGCAAACTAGACTATGCCAAGAAGGAAGATCTATGACTTTTACACAAGGGAAATAACCAGGAAAACTTTGGGTTGCTAAAAATCTGCAGTTCAAGACATGCTCTCTTTGAAGGTAGGTCATTAGATTAAGAAAGACTTAAAAAAAAATAAATCAAAGTTTTCTTTATTAAATATTAAATGATGAATCCTTGCAAGTTAACATTTGCCATCTTCAATTTCTTAAGCTCTTAAGACCTCTCCCTTCCTTCTGTGGATCTGGATTAGTAATACACCACTCTGAGCCCATCTAAATTCAACCAGATGATAACACTGCTCTGGAATATGCCAACTCCTCAATTTTTAAACAAGGCTCATTCTCTTCAAAGCACAACTAACAGTTGAAAAATTAACGACCAATTTCTACCAATAAAAAACAGAAGTGCAATAAAACTAATGTGCAGCCCCTGCGGATCACAGTGGTAAACGTGTCTGAGCTCCTCATCGCAGACCTGTGGGACTAACTCCAACCTTACATGTGTATAACTCCATGGGAAAGCCCAGACTCTTCTGAGCCACACACCCACATCCCCATCGATTTTGAGAGATAAATTTGAGAGTCTTAGACAAGCTCTATTCTCAGTTACGCTGAGGCAAACTCCCAATCTCTGGTAAGCAATAGAGACTGAGGAGATGTGGTAGCAGCATTCCAAATAGCAAAACCTTGTCCTGTTTGGGTTCCATACTGCAAACAAAATTACCCCAAACTGTTGTCACAATGTCTTTTTGAGTTATACGCTCACTCCAGAACTGCATGAGAAGGGGAGAAGGAGATAGAAATAAGGACAGAGACTAAACTGTAATCCAAAAGGAGACTCCCATATTGGGAAGTTGTTACAAAACAGCATTTAAAATAAATATTTTAACATCAGATTGGCAAAGCGCAACACATGTTTGACCAAATGAATTCATGCTCTGTAACATAAAGGCAGTCAACCTAGAAAAGTTAAATGACAAAATGGGTTTTTATGATTATTCAGTCATTCATCAAGATAGACACGAGCATGGCAGAAAGCCTGCAATCTTGGATCAGCTGCAGAACGCTGTCAGTCCTACCTGGTCTGTGCAGGTGATGCTGCTGGAAAGTGTGATGGAGGGATCCCTGACAGAGCAGCATTGCACAGGCACTTATCCACAAATACAGGACCCAGGACATTGCAGACACCACTGCCATTCTCTAAACAAAATATTAGACAGACGTTATTATCCATTGCCTTGCAGCGCGTAGAATAATCAGCTTCCAATACAACAGTATTGTTACTTTTCTACTTCTTTTGTTCAAAACCTTTTGTTGCCTGCCTATTCCCCCCCCTGCAGGATGCAATTGTCATACAACAAAGGTCATGTCCAAAAAGAACAGTTGCTGTAACAGTATGCAGGAGCCAGGAGAACTTTAATAATTCAGAGACAAAAATGAAACTGTAATGATCTGAGGACCAGGGGAAAAAAAAACAACAATAAGGCTGGGAAATTTTCCCTACACTGGTCCAACATCTAATTTACAGTTGTGGGGAAAATCAGCTAAAAACACTGATATCCAGACAACATCAAAACTAATATAAATGCCTAATAGATAGGCATGTTATGTTATCAGGCATCAAGGCATTTCAACAACATTCCACCCAAAGACTGGGAGGTTCATTCTGCCCCAGAAGGTAACAGATTATTGTTTTTGACTTTTGCAGGCATTAATTTTTAATTATGATGCTGCCTACTAAAGAAAGTAACCGTTTCTCAGAATTATCCTCTAACTCCCAAGTACAACCAGCTTTCTTTTGTTTGACCTGTGTGTGCACAGGGACCAGCCTGGCTGTATCCTGCATTTCATACATTCTCCGTAAAAGCTTTGCTCTTTTTCACAAGGCAGGTTGTGTCAAAATTCTACAGAAACTCTTACAGAAAGGCAAAGAGCACTTTGTTTCTGTCTCTCAGCGCTGACATGCTTGGGCATCAGGAACAGACAATCATTTCCATGCTGGTATTCACTATTGTACTAGCTGCCTGAATTTTCCTCTGACTTTTCAACTTCGGCTCTTTCCCAGTGCCTGCAAGAATCTGGAGGCTTGCAAGGCTCAGCTACGCTACACATCGTCCGGTTCCCTTAACAACACCTTCTGCTGCATTTCATATTGCTAAATTAATCAAACTTGAGGCACTCTCCTTATTCAGCCAATGACATGATGCCATTTTCTGTCTAATAATCCAATCAGCTGAACATCATTTTCACAGGGGAAGAAAGACTTAGAGATCAAATCTCTCTCATAGAAAAATCGTGCCTTTACAAATACAGGTGAAAGTAAGAATTCTGTGTGTTCTATCGGGGGTTCTGCAGCAGGAAAATCAGCAGCATGAAAAGAGAAACTCAGCATCTGTGAAACATATGCAAGAAAAATTATTTTCCCCCAAATTTTAAAGGAGTAGACATAGCCTCTGGATAGCTTTAAGACTAACTGTCAGGAGAGAGCTGCACAAACTGACAAATCTAATTAATAGCAAACAGCAAAACGTTGTTTTGATCAGCATGAGACTCTTCCTTCCCCCATTCAGAGTATCTGAAGCACTACTCAGCATATAATTGGTTCCATTGCTGACAATTTACTTCCAGCATACAGTGAACTCTGCTCTTCTCCTCAGACCCACTTCCCTTGCGAAACATTCTGCCCCCCGAGCTCAGGGAGCTCCCAGCAGGCTCCTCGTGCCTGCAGGAATCAATGCCTTTATGTCACATTTGGTGCTCCCATGCTTTTTACATGAGGGAGAGGTCACAGGGATGCACACAGGAACGTTTCAGGCATTTGGGTTATTTAACCCAAACTTCTGAAATCCTGGACAAAAAAAAAAACAAAGCAAAGCCAAACTTCCACAGTCTGCTAAACGCTTGTGTCAGCCTTCAGGAATCATGTTCCAAACCACATGGACAGCAGAATTCCTTAACCCACTCTCTTTTTTGGTGCTTTCCATTTCTACATTTTTCAAATCTTTACCAAACTGTTCTACTATAAACTACCTTTGCTGAAGCCCCAGCATTTCCTATAAACCTTCCTTCTTACTCTCATTTGTCAGCACTTATCATACACGCAGTTCTGTGCACAGATCATCTCCTCATTATTAAGAAACACAGCAGCAAGTATTCCTCCCGTTATTATCTGATGAGTTCCAGATCTGCTTTCTGAATCCTAAATCCTATAGAAGCTCCTTACCTGAGTAATCCAGCCAAGAGCAGAGCACTCTATTAGTGTTCATTGGAAAGGTCTAACACTTTTTAAAATCCATCTGCACCACAATAAGGGATTTCTAATAGCTTCCCAATAATCTTCTTTATCAGGATTAGGAGGGAAAAAAAAAAAAAAAAAATCTCGTTACAAATCCTGTTCCCAGAGTAAAGACGACATCTGAGCTTTCAGGCACTGCCGTCAGAAAAGTGGCCGAGCTTTGAGGGGTGGAAACCTTCTCATTTTCACCTTTAAATCATCTCCTAGCATCACCTTCTGCTTGATGAGACCTTTGAAGCGATCTTGAGACAATCTGCAGCTTCCAGGCTACTTAAAGACGAGGAGCAGTTTGCATTTAAAGACAGAGCAGCTTCACTCCAGCGCAGGCAGTGCAGAGCCGGGCAGCTGTACGTACACTGCTACAGGATGCTGGAAGTACCGGAGCCTATTTCAGTGCATCCCTGCTCAGGAAAGTATCACATGCCTTAAAGTGACACAGCTCCGGATCGCCCAGCACAGCGCCGGGGCTGTGCTGTCCCCAGGCGTCCCCCCCGCACTTGTTGGTGACAGCGTCGCAGCCCTGAGGCAGCCCCTCCTCTGACACACGCGTGTGAGCTCTGCACGCTCGCAGGGCTTTGCTACACCTCGCTGTAAGTGGGAGGGGTGGGGAGGAGGGGGGAAGTTTCCTTTGCAGCACTGCCCCTGTACCTCACGGACAATAGGAAGGAGCCTTGCTTTGATGAAGCTGCTTTTTTTTTTTTTGTGACAATTATTTGTTACACTTATTTATCGTCCACATCTCAAGCAGCCATTTACAGGAACGGCATGGTTTCCTCTCTGTCTTGTACCATGTGTAATTATTTCTTAAAGAGGCACTCTACATCCTCAATGCCGTTCACTCCCCTTTATACCTCCCAAGCCTGTCTACAGAAGGAGGAAGGCAAGGAGACAGAACAAACTTCCATTTTAAGAGCTCTGTGTGCACACTGTAATACAACACTTTTTTTTTTTTCCCCCTCCAACTTAACCTATTGTAGAAAAGCTTTCTACCTTCTCCTTCTACCGCTCGTGACACCAACAATAGCAAGTAACAGCAATAAGTGCCTTTCTTCTCAAGCACCTCACTCTGTGCACCAAGGACAGATGTCTCCGTGGAGACACTTGCTGAGAGGTGTGACAAGTTTACCTGGCGGTGCATACGCTCCCCAGGAGCCCCTGTGTCATTATGTAATAAGCATTGAGAGTTTGGCCCCACCAGCACTGCTTTACACAGGTCTCCAGCACAGTGCTCAGAGCAGCTCTTCCTTACAGCTTTGCCACAATACAGCAACGGTGATGTGGGATGAAGTGACACAGGAGGGAAACATTCCAGGCTGCCACTGCCACAGAACTCCTGGTATGCCACTTAGGGCAAGCCCTATAGTGGCCAGAGATCAGTGATTCTTTATGGTACTTTGTGTGGAAATACGGGACTCTGGTTTGGCACACAATATTCTCCTCAATAAATTTTTTCCTCATCTTCCCCAAGAATTCCCTTAGATGCTGAAAGAAGGCCAAGATCTGGAGCAATCACTGTTCCTTTCTGGCTTCAGAAAGGTCTAGATATTTCCAAAAACTGCTGTTTATAGAAGCAACCAAGGCACATTGATTGCTGATGTCTGAAGAACCAACCTGGGCCAGTCCCCAGCAGGAGGTGATGGGCAAAGAGCTGGTGGTTGCAGCAGTCCTGGTTTGTTGCTAAAGCCACAGGGAGGCTCAATACCTTCCCTCTTTCTACAGGAAGATGGAAGCTTTCTGTAGTACCTGAGAGGCAGGTGGTGGGAACTTATTTTAAAATAGCACCTGTTTAACAAGATGCATTCCCTCTTGGAAAGGTGATGAAGGGTATAGAATGGGGAGGTGTGAGGCAAGAGGCAGGACTGGGGTCTCAAGAAGATCTTCTAGGAAAGCAAAAAGCCCCCTGGACAGCAGGAGGAAACAGAAAATTGTGACCACACACCTTGGCAGAGGAGGCAGAGACAGATTTATGCAAGATACAGATTTACATAAGGTACAGCAGAACTGTCACTCTGCCAGGCACTGCTAACTCTCAGCACCATGAGGCTAATGCCACCATAACCCCTGACAGATGCTGCTATTGCTCAGGACAAGCTCTGCAGAAGCGTGGGACATGTTGCTTTTGTGGGGTAGGAGGGAGATCAGAGGAACAGAAGAGAATATTAAACAGGTTGCACAGCCACTTCCCCGCCCTGGCTTCCAGCATTAACTGGGAACAGAGGCAGCCTTGGCAAATCTTGCAGTAGCATCCTCACACCTGTTTTGGTGTCCTTGCTGCCAGTTTTTACTTTCAGTGGACCAGTAAGACAGGAAAAAAGCTTCTCTTATTCTGTCTTCAGCTGGGCATGCTGTCTTCTTCACCTGACACTTTGGGGCTTTACTTTTGCCTCCTTGCATCAAGCATCACTGACTTTGACAGGAAGGGGATGCTTCTTTACAAGCACCCATGGGATAGTGTATTGAATTTGGAGATGCTAACACTGACAAGGCCAGAAACAGAAAATATGGAGGAAAATAAGATAGGAGTCAACAGCCTGCACATTTCAAAATCCTTTGTCATAACAAAGGAAGGCTGAAAGCAACTCCTTTCTAGAAGGAAGAGGCAACAAAAGGCTGCACCATCCATCCAGTACAGTGGCAGCTCCATCCAGCACTGGAGTAGGATGGACCCAGAACCTGCAGCGAGGAGACCAGCCCCTGGGTTGCATGGTATCTGCCTGGGAGGGGAAATGGCAAAAATCAAAGACAGGCCAGGGAGAGTTGCAGGTTGCTCACCCAGAGGCATCAATCTATAAACAAGATATCGTTTGCCCCAAAGCGTCTTGTAAGTGGGAATACAGTGAAGCAGGGTGTTCTAAACGCAGTCTTGCCCCATCTCCTTCCAGACATTTGGAGAAGCTTACCATCTGCTCAGCTCAGAATGAAGAAAGGCTTTTAGGTATGGAAGAGGCCAGGAACAGTGAAGGTGACAGTGCAGTTTTTAACTTATGCTATTTACAGTGAACGCTCTTCTCACTTTGGCCTGGTCTTCCCCCCTACTTGGCCCATCCACCTCCACTATGACACCTGACAGCAAACAGAAAAAAAAAAAAAACAGAGACCAGGAGTTTTGAGCTACCCTGAACAAAGAGCAATGGAAAACTGCCTCTCCACTGCTCTGATTGAAAAACTCCATGGGGTTGCCGGCAGGGCTGCCAAAAACAGACTGTTGCACTCAGGCGATATTTCCAAGGTGAAAGTAGGTTGCAAAGGGTCAGCAGGCATCAAACTGCCTTTGAGACAGGCTGCCTTACACAAACAATGATTGTATTCACAAGAATAGCTTTTTCCTCCTGGTTCCACCATTCATCTAAAGATGCCAAGCGGATGACAAAAATAGGCAAATAAAAATAAATGCTCTTCACTCCCTGGGCCTCTATTTATCACAAGTTTCCATGCAGACAGAGAAGGAGAGCATATGCAACTTGGGCAGAGTCACGCAGACAGCAGATTGGGACTGGCACCCAAATAGGGGCCTCTGGCCTCTACTTTCTCATGCTGCCATCTCTGCTCCTCTCCTCCCCCACATACGCCTTTGCCCCATGTAGAGATTTAACACAACAAATCCCAGGAATGTATTTTACAGGGTTCGAAGAAGGCTCAGCACCTTTGAAATGCAAAGCTCATTAGTTCTAGTGCTTCTGGGACAATAAAGCTTTGGTTTTCACAGATTGTGTTCTCCATCTCACCCAGCTGCTTCCACCCACCCTACAAAGCTCTTTCCCATACACCAAACTAAGTGTCATCTGCTGCCCGGGTGACAAGCAGTGCACATTGCAGCTCATGGGTACCTACATGTCCCCACTCCAGGTGAGCCAAGGCAGTCTAACAGTACATTTCATCTTATCTCCACTAGAAGGACAATTGCAGACTATTTTCTCATGTCCACAACATTTATGGAAGTTATCTTTAAAAATCAAAAAATTAAAAAACAAAGCAGAAGTTTTCCTATCCCACCTCATCACCACGGCAGCTTCCAAGGAAAGCCTGCCCACATGAAGAAACAACAATTGAGCACATGATGATCAGTATGCATATATGTAATAGTCTGAATGGCAGCCATGAGCACTGAGTAAAAACAGTGAAGAAGCAATCCTCATCCAGGGCATTTCTGGCTCTTGGCTTCTCCCACAGGAGAACAGGGAGCACAAACACTAAAGCGGGATCCTTGCAGGGAGGGGTGAGACCTAGAGATTTCCTAAAACTCATCTGTGGACGCAGCTTTGCCAAGAAAAAAAGATGTTAATAAGTTCTGTTTAACACATACAAGTGCTTGCAGCAACATTTGATGTTACATGCACACTCTTTGCAGTCAGATGCTCACAGTGGTGCTTCACTTCCTTTCCAGTACTTTCTGTATGCCCCCCCAAAAAACCTCACCTCCCCACTTTGTCCAGGCACTTTTCTTTTTAAGTCCCCACCACCTTAATTCCTTTTTTGTGAGGGGCCTAACCTCGATGTCTGAACTGAATGCATTTCCTTCTCATGTCTTCTGCAATAGTATTAAATTATTTAGTCTGTATTGACAGGTTTTCTTCTCTTTTAGCTTTTCCAGTGAAAAGAAGATGCAGTGATTTTGCTCACGCGCCTCCATGCTGAGCATGAAAACTCAGCTAGAAAACTACACTCTTTTTCATGAAGAAAGAGCATCAAAGAAAGGTTTGGTGATTTGCCTGGCCGTGACCACAGCCTCTACTGGCCAAACAATGAGACTGCAGACACCCAAAGCCTGCAGAAGTAGAACTGAACAGCAGCATATGCAGGGAAACCATTACCTGCATGAGCTCAGGAACTAGTTGACATGGTTATTATAGCACATCACATACAGCGTGCCAGGAATTCTGCCCTGTTCCCAATCCACCTATGTTGGCATAGGGGTCTGCTCAAGGATACAGTAAGATCAGGGCATAACGCTCAATGGAGAAGCTCTGCTAGGTATAGGAATACCTGGTGGCTCCTTCCCACCATCTTGTCTGTACCTTATCCTTCTATCACCCCTCCTTGTTCCTCAGCCATAGCAGCCTTGCTTAGTAGAAACTATTTTTCAGCCCCTCCAACACACAAAGGAAAGATTCAACCAACAAGATGACACAGCTGGAGCCATTAGAAAGCAAATACAGAAACACTGTAAGTCACTTTCAATGAAAAACAACAAAGAATTAAAAATCCAGTGCAAGTATCAATGGAAGGGGGAGAAGAACTGAGAGCAGAGCACAAAAGGAACACTCTCACAGTTGTTTTTCTCATCCTACCTTTAAGGTACCACTCTTCCTTGTTAAGAAAAGGCCTAGTTTTCACAGTTCCTATGCTTGGAAGGCAAAGATTCCGCTTCTTATGTCTTGTGCCCGCCTAAAATAAAAAACAAAGAAAAGAAGTGAATCTACCTTTGTCAAGGAAATTTATATCAAGAAGCCTGCACTCCAGTTATTTTTAAAGTATATAGAACAATGCACCAAAATCAAAACCCTTACCGTAACACAATGGAAAGCACTGCAATGACAGCAGAGCAGTAAGGCTCCAAGCTGCAGCAAGTGAGGAATTTACTCAAACACAACAACTATAGATGCAAAAATAAAGGAAAGAAGCTACTTACCTTCAGAAGGCCTCAGGAACGCAGGGACCTACAGCAAACAATTCCCTCACCTCCACTGCCAACCCTTAAATGAGGTCTGGGAAGGGGTGGAACCTGACTCCACCCCTTCCATCACTCAGGGACATTGCATGCAGCTGAGCTCCCCTGGGTTGGCCCTGCCTTCCCACCAGGTGCTCAATCACTGTCCATGACTTTGCATTTCTGCTACGCTTATCTATAACTTGCCTTTAGCCAATGAGATCAGTATTTAAGAGGAATTAACTATGTAGTACATTATCAATGATATAAACACAACCACAAAAACATGATCAGTCTCATCACACTGTGGGAGGTGAACATAATTGCCTTATAATGAGATAAATTGTTTTGTTTCAGTTCAGAAAATTTCAAGAAAGAAAAAAAAAAACAACAAATAACCCAGTAACAAAATCTAAGTTAAAGCAGCCCTAGAGAGATGCTGATCATGCTGATCCTGTCAAGTAACAATATTTTTATTTTTTACCATCATATTAATCTGAAACATTCAGAATCTCTTCCTCTCATCGATGTCTTCATGGCATAAACTCAAGATCATGCATTCTTACATTAGCCAGATGCATCCATTAAATGAAGTACTATTGAAATAACCAATTGCTAGGAAAGAACTCTTTCTAGAATTAGCCTGCTTGTTCCCTTCCAGACCAACTAGAACATTCCATGAAGATCCAGATACAGCAGCCAAATCAGGGGCCAGGGTACCTGAACTGAAAATTAGTGCATCTGTAGTCATAGAAGACACTTGGTAGTGGGTTAGTCAGCTTCAAGGGATCAAATAGCAGTCTCCAAGCACAAGTTTAGGGCTTACTTTAACTGCTTAAAAGTCAAGTTTTACACAAAGGTGTAAGTAACTTCTAAATTCACAACATAAATAAAAGCAATTCAACCAGAACAAAGCAATTGCTATACGCTGGTAGGCAAAGAGCACGGAGAGTTCAGCCATGGTCACCAGGGTGCTTTTGTTCCCTTCAGCTTCACTACATTGCTAGCTTTAAATAAAGCTTAACAAACAATAGGTCTCCACTGTCCCAGACCCAGCTGCACCAAAAGAGACCGCTGAGCCCAGGGAGGGCAGCCAGGTACCATGCTGAGCACATGGCCCATCCCTGGTCACCTCCAGTTCCTCCCAGAAGATCACAGGGGTGAGAAAGATCTTCCCCAGCTCATCACAAAAGCTAAAAGCACACATCTTCAGCAGTACCCAGAACTTGTTCCTGCAGCCCCAGAAACCTAGATTACCAACCTTATAATACAGAGGTCTGAGCTCTCAAGCTGTTTTAGGTGTTGTTTCTGACTCCCCCTAACTCAGAAATTTCTTTCTATAGATTTGTGAGTGTGTTTCTTTACCTCAGCCCTGAAGCAAACTCATCAGCTCAACCCTCCCTCCCAGCAGCTGCACCCCAGCTGGGGCAGAGGAGCTTTGTAAGCCCAAACACCTCAGCTGCTAATGGCCACTGCCTGGCACAAGGTCCAGGTGCTCTAACAGCTCCAAAAACAAACAAACAAACAAAAACAAACCAAACAAACACAAAACCACCACACAAAATTTCTTCAGATAGAATAAAACCCTGTAATAACATGGGTGAATTGGAAAGTGTGCCAGGGTGGTTGTGCTGTGTGATAGGGAATGCCAAAATGAAGCCAGTCTGTCTGTGAGCTCAATGCCTTTTTCTGCTCTGAGATGCCTCCAGGTCCCATCCCTGTGTGCCCCAGTGTACATGGAATGCCCATCTTTGCCCAACTCAGAACCCATCCTCAGAAAGAGCTCAGTTCACAAAGTACATATGCAAAAGACAAATTCAAAGAGCCAGTTCAACTCTTCATCCTATCACTTCTGAGCTCCATAACTGCAGGTGCTACTCTGACAATAGCACTTAAAAGTCAATTTACTCTGCATTGGTCTCAGCTGCAGAGGGAGTACCAGCTCTTGAGCTGAACCAGGGCATTTAACCAAACAGATAGTTTGCAAACTTGTGTATTTCTTCCACTTCACCACAAAGTAAACCGATGATTTGAGAAGGTTCTTTGCTGCCTGCACCCTGTGAGCCAGCTCTTATAATGGGTTCACAATGTGATCTTAAAATATATTTCACTTTATTTCTTAAAACATGTCCTGGGTTTTGCAGGTGTGGCTTCCAAACCCCTATTTTGGCATGCTTGGAGCACCATGGATTAGAGGTGTTCTATAAAGCAATTCTGATTATAATTAAGTAAACTATTGTGCGATACAGTAGCCTTGAAAAGATAAAGCAGGCAGGGAGGGAGGCGAGGGAAAGAAAAAGGTAGAGAAATGGTAAAACTGAGAAGAAAAAAACCCAACATTGGAAAGTAACACAAAAGTCTCCCTTAAAGAGGTAGAAACAAGAAGTTGGGGAAAATTCTTCCAATGGAACAAAAAAAAGAAAGTGAGATTCAACACGACTATGTGATATGCAGGAGCCAACAGATCCCTGATGCCGTCGCTTGGAAGAACGCAATACCTTAAGATTTAACTCCCTGTCACTGCCACCAGCCTTGCCATTATTTAAGAAAAATGCTCCAGGCATTCCCTTCCACAGCTCGTCTACTTGTTTGCAGGGCTGGGCAGAGTGCTGCGGCCAGAGCCCTGCGTGCTGAACGGCTGCTGGAAAAGAAGAGCTGCCAGATACGAAATTAGTGCATGAAATGAACGTGGAAAAAATCATATACTGTTCTGCTTTTGCTTCAAAACAGGTTGGTTGATTGACAGCCAACCCTATATAATAATTCCTTCCAGGCAGATGGCAAGATCACGATTTGCTCTTCAGTTGCAATTTTCTGCTGCCTCGCACAAACAACCTAGCTACATGATCTGCCAATAGGAAGGACCTGGGCTGCTTTGTGTGAGTTTTACAATACTCACATCAAAACATATGGATTAATATTGTGACTAGTTATCGTATTCCATTCTGCAAAAATTTGCCTTGAATTTGCCTCCAACGTTTCCTAGCTGATCCTATGTAGATAATAGCTTCAGAAATCCACACAAAAGCAACTTGTAAATTGTTCCACCACTCCTGACAGACAATACTCTTTTGAACGTTTGTGTAGGTGTTGAAAATCTTGCCATACATCTCAAGCTCTCTCAGCACATATTGTTTTTAGGCTGCCATCTGCTAATGCGCAGTTCCACCCTAAGAGAGATGCAGTAGTGCTCCAGCCTCCAGTCTGTTCTGTTTTCAGATTTACTCTTTTATTTCTTCCAATTCCCAACACTCAGCCTGTGCCATTCGTAACCCCGACTGTAGTAATGAAGTTCAAGAGACACATTCACATCACTGCTAATTTTCAGTGATAAAGAACATTTATTGAGCGGGTATCCAGGCAGTCGTTTTAATGAACCAAAGAAAAGCTTCATGCAATTGTGCCCCTGGAAGCAAATTCATTTGTCTCCACGTCATTTGGTATGCATGTGGAGCGGTGTGGGGCTGATCAGGAAGCTTTGAAGCACTCGTTTTCAGTGCATGTATATAGTAAAAAGCATGTGTGGTGTTGGTGGCAAAGGAAGACGACTGTGCCCAAAGAATTAACGTGTGTAACATCACATCATGAACAAATCAAGCCATGCGTGTCACAGTGCAGAATGCTGGGATTGAATTATCATAGCAAAGAAGGAATTTTTAACATTATACTCCACTGATTTTGTTCTTCACTGAAACTGTCAATAGAACTCTTCATCTGACAGCTGATTTTGCTTCACTCCCAAGCACAATTGTAAAATTTATAAGACGATATTTAATTCTATTTTTTTTGTTGTTTGGAAACAAATTTATAAGGGACAATTTTGGATAAGTGTGCTACACGGGATCTGTCACTAAAATATAGTGGAAGCTACAAATTTAACTCTAGGAAACTGAGGAGTATGTTATCACTTGCTAGCTGAAATTTATCCGCTTTGATCCTTTTTTATATTCCTCTTCTCCCACACATCCCTTTTACTACCTCACCTTCTTTTTGGGTTTTCAAAGATTTTGTTGTCATTTGCTTCTGAATAAAATACTACATTTTGTTGGCATTGTAGGCTCTGTACATCAAATTGTTGTTCATGTCACACTGAATTCTGTGCGGCAAGTAGAGAAGCCAGAACAAGTGAGCATACATAATGGCACAGAAATCTTTCTATGTTGCTTGCAAAACACAAACATGAATAAAGAGGGTCAAGGTAAGAAAACAGAGATTGGAGAATGAAAATATAAATATGTGTTTAAAGGAAGCTTACCTAGTAGGTCTGCTTTTTTTCCCCCAGTGTTTGCAGTGATTATCCCTCGTTTTCTTCTTTGTATAGAAATGGCTGACTTAGGTTATATGTTTCCTTTGGTTCCAGTAATGAGAGTAAATCAGAAAAATCTTTTCCAGTGAAAAAAATTTAATTTTACATCTAAGCAAAAGTGGTAGTTTTTGTTTCTTCTATCTGTGCTCCAGCAAAAGACTGCAGCCCTTTTTTAACAAGCTTTTGGCTGCTAGAGGCATAAACTCTCTCTCCAAAGTTTGACAGATGAATTCTTACCCCATGAAGTATGATACCTTTCAGAGAGCCTGAAAGCAACTAATAGACTTTCAGGAAAATGCTGAAAATTAGCTTAATGTTGCATAAATAAAGATATTTATGCAACCTGGAATGAAATTTCACCATGAGTAGAAAGCTAGGCCCCACTTACAGTACCAAAACTGCCTTCTGACAGTTTACATTGCTTTAATGGACGTGGGGTCATTTGCTGGCCTTCTCAATCTCAGCTGATAGAGTCGCCATAGCAAGACTTTAAATATGAATCATTTCCCAGGCAGCCTAACATCCATCTGGCTCCTCCTTCCACTTCCCACAGGGGGCTGAAAAATGTTAAACTGTTCTCTTCACAATTAAATTCATGAAACACTTAAATTCTATGGCGGCCAGACACCAAGGAACAGGAAAATCATTTCATCTCATAATGTTTTAGAGCCCCTAGGCAAATGTAAACACTGTACGCTGTGATAGGCAAAGGATTTATTGCTCCTGCTGAACAGAGAATCTGCTGATTTGTTTCTAATTCCAGTAGATTTTTTAGGGCAATTTAAAATTATTTATTACAAAATTTTGATGGAGTTATTATTTAGGAAGTTGGAACATATCAAACTCATTTGTGTGGAAATACATTTTAAACAAAAAAGGAACAGAACCCAAATCAATCTGCATTGAACTGGCCTGTAACAGTGAATCATTATTGTACTCTCTTTCCTGCCAGAGCATAAAGGTGGCTAGAGCTGTCTCACATCTCACAGTCCTGCAGTCTGAGCAGCATTTTATGGGCCACCACTGGAGGTGCTGCTCTAGAGAACTCAAACAGAGGCAGAGAATGGTCTAACTCACAACTGTGTTCTTGCAAGTGTTTTACTCAAGACCAGTTTCATTGGTTTTCTGTGAATATCATCACTAAAGTGTGTGACACCCAAGTGCAGTTCCAACCACTCATTGAAATAAGACTCAGAGTGACAAAGGTTACCATTTTGAGTAAGTACATTGCTGTTAGTATATCAAATTGATGGAAACATCAGTGTAAATATGACTTTATGTCTTGCCACTTACTTTCACTGTAGGCACTTAGCTTCCTGGAGCGCTCTCGTGTGCTGCAGCTGTACTTAGCAGCCTGGGGAATTGTTTGGAAAGCTGAAGGAAAGTAAATTCACTTTCATGGCAGAGACTGAGCCACAAGACTCCAACAAGGGTTAGCAGTGGATGGATGCTTGTGGGAGCAGCCATACAGCTGTCTGTCTGCCTGCTGGATGTTCAGGCTTCACTAATGGACTGCCGTATTGTGTCATCTTGGCTTTTTGTCCTCACCAGACTAACTCCTGTTGCAGTTTGTAGGTGAGTGCTTTGGGCAGAAGGCACTTGCTTCATGTCTCTGTGTATGAAATAGAACAAAAGAATTCTGACCTGTGTCAGAACCTGCAGTCGCTCTGCAGCACTAAGCTAAAGAAAACCATTAGGAGTTGTAATCTGATCATCAATCATATTTGCCAACTTATCACCTCTGCTTCCACTGAAAGGTGCCTGCACATTACACAAGTAATTCAGAATCCTTCTAGGTCTCTTTTTACCTTCCATGCTTATTTAGAAGTGCCAACAGTAAACAAGAAACTTCTTTAAAAAAATGCAGTTGCTGAATTTCTCTCCAAAGATGCCACCAAAACAACTCCAGACTGTCTGCCTAGCTGGCATTCCACTGAGACTGTTTTAGCTCTGCTCTCGCTAACCTGAAGCAAGAACTTGAACCACAACTCAAATAAATGCTGTAGAGAATCAATTTTCAATTTCCTGCTGCACTTCAGATATATATTTAAATACTCACTACTTTTGGCACCTGGAAAGAAACCAACAATGAAATCAAATGATGAAACTATTCACCTGATAAGAGAAAAATCTGTAAGTAATCAAGCAAAAGGAGACTCAGATACGGGCCTGAAGGCTACATTTTGTCAGCACTGATATAAAAGCAGTGCTTACTGTCTTCTTTATAGGAAAAAAAACACCCCCAAAAATAAAACAAAACAAAAAACAAAACCAAAAACCAAAAGAAAAATCTGTTCAGCAGAGCTTTTGCCTAAATCAGGATATTTCTGTACAGTTCACCGTCAGTCTTAAAGAAGTATCATTCTTTCAGGGGAGAGAAAAAATGCATAAAGTTCTTAGTAAGATTGAAAGTGTTGATAAAGAATTAATTGGAAACAAGACTCAGACAAAAAGAAAAGTGAATCTCTGCTCTTACAAGAGAGCCACTGGAGGAAATGTCCTGGAGACTGCGAGTTTGGTCATTGCTCATGGCCAGATTTTTATCCTCAGGTTCTGCATCTCACTGCACATTGCTATTAGGATGAGAGCCTCTCAGCAGCCTGCAGGTTTGCCTGCTTGACTTTATTCTTCTCCATCTGCAACGTCCTTGATAATACACAAATAAGTAAATAAAAAGCTACTGAAGAAAATCCACGCCTAAAACAAGGACATTGGAAAGATTCATGTGAAAAGACTGATATTGGTTTTGACTGATGTGTTATTTGAACAAAACTGTAGCAAATAGATCAGTGTTCCCTGAGAATATTAAAATCTTACCAACAGTGAAGCAGTGCGTTCTGGCTCAGCCTCTCAACAGACCAACAAATGCCTCTTGCTGCATTCAGAAGGCAAAATATTAATTATGCCCATGGAAAATCACAGCGGTGAGGACGTGTGTATTAAACTGGAATAGACAAGCCAGGAAGATGATAGTAATAAAAATTGTGGCACCTATAATTGTACTTCAGTCTTGCAAGATGTTGCTGCTTTAAGGGACTCAGAAGGGTAAAATGCCTCCCCTGTACCAACTGTTGTCAGGCTGTTCCTGGGAGTAGCTGAAGGGAACAAATACTTTTCTCTACAACGCTCTGAATGTAAGATCTCGTAAAACACTTCTTTGATGTGAGAGTGATTGCAAGCCAAAGAGTGAAAGCCATGCAAACAGTATTAAGCCTGTGTCTCGGGGAGGTTTTATTCCTGCTAACCTGTTCCTGCAGCTTGTCCAGACAGCTGCCATGCCGGGAGCCTTCTCCAATCTGCAGTGAGCCATCAGCGTCTCGCAAAGAGGAAACAGAGAGAAATGACAACAAGGCATCAGATATAAGCTCATCTTGATGCAACTGCTCGGGAGGGAAAGAGCTGTGCAGCAAACAAAATAATGGGCAGGCTGGTGACAACTTCTGGGTTCTTTTGTTTTCGGAGTTGCGAGACTACAACTGGAAAAATTAATTGGGTTCCAATTTTACCCTCACTCTGTGAAAAATGAGTGAGCAGCTATGGCCAAAATGCCAATAATAGTAATTGTGATAACAAATGTGACAGGAACTGACTGAAAAAAAAAAAAAAATTGTAAATGTGGAGCTTTTTGAGACTTCTACCTAAAGGACATTTGAAGGCTGTTTCCTGCAGAGTGACAGGACAGCCTTGTTAGTGGAGTTAACCAGGAATTAGACATGTATCTTTCTGAGTGGTACCCTATAAGGCACCATAGCATGGGTCTGTATTTCTGTGGATCTGAGGGAAAGGATGGGAAAACTGCTGCCTTGCTATAAGGCCTTCCTATCTCTGTGTTCTGTTGTCCCTGAGTTTGCAGGTTCAGTTACTGACAGGGCAAAGGCAAGAAAAGGAGTGGCTCTGCATGGCCAAAAGAGGGGTAAAAGGAAGGAGGCACATCAGGCACCAGCTAGGCTTTGCCTATCCACACTATGTCATTCCTATTGTTTAAAACATGTTCTGCAATTTTCTGCACAGAAGAGGTTCAGAGAGGTGCTCTCTAATTCCACTCTCATGTAAACCATAAAGTAAAGCTCCCACGGCTTGAGAAGAACTAGATCTGTATCAGTGCCCTGAAAGTCCCACCCTGCTGTGGCAATGCCTTCACCAGCCTTGAAAACAGTGTCATGCAGGTTATTTGAACATGTCAAGCTTCAGAAGGGGTGACAGCAGGGACTCAGGTGAGGACTCTTTGGCAGCCACCAGATGGGCAGCTGTGTGGGCAGTCTGGGCCAGCCCTTCACCAGGACAGTATGCTCTGCAAGCAGTTAGATTCACCTTAGCCTGGAAATGGGTGCAGAATAGAACTCCAATAGAACAAAATAAATAGATTGGGTGTCTCAGTTCTATAGATATCAGTGGATACGGGGCATTGGGGTAGTTAAGGAAAAAATCTAATTCAAAGTCATTTAGCTGTACGGATAATTTAACCATCCTGGTATTACCGAGCAGTAATGTATATTTGAAAAAGAGAAAGCAAACACCCAAAGGCCTCTTGTTTACAACGTTGCAATTTCAAGAAGTTGCTATATGGCAGAATGGGGTGCTGATAACAGGGGAGATAATCCAGTGTGATAGTACTATCAGCACCTGAGGAGCAATAACTGATCTACTCCGTATTTACCAAATGTACCCAGCGCTGCCTATTATGTTTACCTAATGATTAAAAGGAACAGTAAATGGAATGACTTTCTTTTAATCAGTATGTCAGCTTGAGCAGCGTAATGAAATTAGTCAGGGGTGAATAAAGGCTTCTGAGCCAAGAGGGACGTTTCATTGTTACTTACTTCTAAAATCAGTAACTTTGCTGTTTCTATGGCATTGCACTGTGTGATGCTGGGGTCTGCATTAAAATAGAGTATATCCAAAATTAAAACAAACGACCTGTTTCTGCATTTTGTTATATCTGCTCTCACAGCTTGCAAGTTCACCGAAGTCTCAGCCAAGGATTCCTTTTCTTTAGGACACATTTATTAATCATCCGTTCATGTCTACCTAGTTACACATGGATGATATCTGACAGTTTATCTCAGTTATCATTAATAACTATTAATGGCCTTGTTGTTACAATTCAGCTGCATCAACTCACAACTTCACTTGGGTTCATCTAATTTTTCACTTAATTATGAAATCCAGGATGCGGCTGTCACAGGCAAACTTGTTTACCTAAGGACACAGATTTGTCCATTTGCTTGCTTTGAGAAGGGTGGTAGATTACAGTACCAGTGACTTTGATTAAATGTGCAATATATGTGTTTCCTTAATCCTCAAGTATAGGTTATTGTCACTCCCGCGAAAGTTACAGCATACGAAAGCTTTAGCTGCAAACAAATCCAAATTAAAAGAAGTCATATCTTCTCAATGCTGAGAAGGTTTAATAAATGTATTTAGACACTAATGAGTATTACTAGGCTTATGTAGGGTCATGGAAAATTAGAGCAGCTTTCTATGCTTTTTAATACAGATTTCTTCATTGCTACATGCTAAGCTCTTTACTGTTAGCATAGCTTTGACTTTTAGCAAGTGGGCAATGTTTGAAGCACGGTGACATGGCTCTCTTTCTGTATTGTTGGTTTCTTTGGAAACCACATATTTTGAGCAGCTTTAATGCAAAGATTTCATTTTTAACTTTAACTCACTGTCCTTTTCCAGAAATCTGCTTTGTGTCTATTCTGAAGAAAACTGTAATGCAATGTAGAGTGCTTATTTACCTCATTTTCTAATCAGAAGTTGATAGCAATGTATGTCAGTGCTGCAGCAAGAACATCTCCCATAAGAAAAATGAGTCTCCTAAAGATACAGTGCTGAGCTCTGTCTTGATTCCATACCACTGGAGTCAGTGGTTTTCAGAGTGTAAACAGGAGTACAATTTGAAAGCGTGCCTATAGGGCTAGCATACATAACACATGTCCTTCATTCATAAACTATGCTATGTTTCAGTGGAGCTGACACATTTCACCCAGTGCAGCTTCCTGACATTAGAGGGCTCCATAATCCACGGAGTATGGCAAGAGGGCGTTTCCTTTTGAGATCAATGGAGATGACGCTGGGAAAGGATTATAGACTCCTCTTGGAGTTGTGGTCTGATGATGGTATTGTAAATGCAGCTTCTGAAATTTTACTATTAAGTCACAGCTGCAAAATGTAACGAGTTGACCTTGTATAAAATCATCCTTCTGACTCATACTTGCTTTAGAAAGGCTGAGTGGGGCTTGATTTTGCCATGAGTAGTAGACCATGAGTCCCTCTCTCTCATAATATGCTGCATTGGTGGTCATTCTGGCATTATTTGTCTTCTAAGGGCCCTGAAAACCCTGGCACAAGCTCTCTGTTAGGGGATTCTGTCAATGAGACACAAATGTGGTGAGTGTCCATGCCTAAAGCAGATCAAATCTGCATCTCAATGCAGCTGAAACACTCCTAGAGAAACAGCTGGGTGCCGTGCTTGTTGTCCATCACTATCAAAGCTCTGAAGGAGCTGTCACACAGCAGGATGGTAGCAGGCAGTGGAGCTGGGTCAGGCAGTCAGAAAGCCTAGGAATATTGCACTTTCAGAAGGAAAATGCAGGGAAGTTTCTGAGGCAATAAAGAATAAAAACAAACAAACCAACAAACTCCCTTATAAAATAATTTAAATGGCCAAATTTCAGAAGGAATTTTTACATACAATGTAAAATGTCTTTAGAAAGCACAACTTGTCTTTGCTGCTCTTCAAAGAATCTAATCCCTAAAGATATCTTCCTAAGGAGTGAATATGCTCATGAGTTGAACAAACCCCATTCTATACGATTTAAAAGAGTTTTTCTGATGTGTGCTTGCACAACTCCAAATCTGTGAAGGTGAGCTGGCTCTCTGTTAAGGCAGTCACTGATGGAAGAGTTTCATTTGCACCATACTCCCATAGGTAAACTGTACCCCATCAAGTTCTTCCTGCACCACCTGTATTCTGAGTAAGCGGCCACTTTGGAGCCAGCAGGTTGATTTAATTCCTAGAGACTGCAAAAGAAATCAGTGTCTTAAAGAGAATTAAATGTTCCCTTTTTTCTCAAACACAGTTTTCTATAATTAAAGACTGATATATATCGGTGTAGCTTTCCTGGCAAACATTGAAAGAGGGTTGGATTATTTTGGCAGGGAGGGCCAGATTGTTAAAAATACTATAATTTCCTAAAAGAAAATCAAGTACATCTCATGCTCTGCATTTTTTTTTTGCCTCATCCTGACACGTGGAACATGTTTTTCTCATTGTGCTGTGGGCACAATTTGGTCACGTATTTCTGGAAAATGTCTGCACAAATAATAATTTTACTAGTCAGTGACAAGGACAGTAAAAAGGAGCAGAAAACTGCTCCTCTGAGTGCGGACACCAGCAAAGCATGGAAATAAGCAAAGCATCTTCTTCAAAGTTATAGAGGTGGACACTTCAACTTCATCACTTGTGAAATGTGTATACCCAAGATACCAGGAAAATTCCCACCGTGAAAGGCAGCGGCTGCTTTTGTAGCAACGTGTGAAATTTACACCAGCTGAAGATCCAGTGCTTGTTGTTGAATTTATTGAGCTTGAACCAAATCCCACTGTAACCAATGGGGAAAAAAAAATACGGAAAAAAACCCTTCGTTTCAGTTCCTTGCAGAGCAGACTTGCTGTTTGTGGACCCCTTTGGGCCATGTGACACGGATATCAGCAGCTTTGAAACCATGACCATCTGATTAATACAGGGACACTGACGCATTCCTGGCTTACTGAAAAATCTCCTAAGTAATATGGAGCGTGTATTTGGTCACAAAATTGCTATGAAATGCTTACAGATTTATGTATCTGAAACCAAATACTCTCTGAAAAGACTGGGGGCGACAGGGAGCGTGTTGAGCCTGGTACCCAAATCACAGACCAATAATACTCCAGCTGGATGAGTCCTCGCTGTGCTTCATTTTGAGATAAATTCATGCAACACGGAGCGTGAGCCACAGGAGGAGAAAATAACAGCTCGGTATTTCCTTATGGCAATTGGATTTTTTGCTGAGCTTCTAATTTTGTGTCTGCATTCGAAGGGTCACTGATTTAAATAAATTAAAGACATAAATCACATAAAAACTGTGATTGAGAGAGTATTTTTTTCACTTCATGCTTATGAATTTATTTATTTCGCAGTGTTTTGTGGCCTCTGCTGTTATTGTACAAACACAGTTTCTTCCCTGGGATTTCTCTCAGCCTGGTTCCCACAAACATAAACTACCCAGTTCAGCAGGATCCCTGCTCAGATCTAGCCAACCTTCCTATCCAGATCTCTCT